AGGATGACGAAACTGGGCCTTCTTCAGCTGCTCGGGGCCCTTCTTGCTGCCTGGCAAGAACTCATGCAGCCATGCCATCGTTCCGATGGCAGGCTAGCCGCACCTTTCTTGATCCCGGTGGTGACCAGGACGGTGCCGGGCCGCTGTTGCCTTCCCTTCCTCTTGCTGCGGGTGGTGAGGACAATGGACTCCTGGAAAGCACTTGCAAACTAGCCGCTCCGTGCCAGACGAATCTGCGCTGCCTCTACCCATGTTATCTAAGACAGCTCCAGACGTCCCACCCGATATGTTGTCACCGAACACCCGGCTGAGCAACGTGCCCGTCAAATCCAATCAAGACTGTCATGATTTCATTTCGCATCCCCAGAGCTCCCTCCCCCAGAAGGTTCGGCACGATTTCTAGAATCTACCGGAGCACGAAGGCATCTTTGGCACAAACAAAAATCAAGACCGTCCTTCTTTCCCACCTTCTTGGAATCCAAACCCAAGACCAGTTTGCCAGCAAGACCACTGTACCTGAGCGCTGTATGCAATTCGACCTCAACTCGGCCAGCCGTGCCATCTGAGGCAGGGTCTTGAAAGAATTCAAGCCAGTGAGGTTGCCTGGCACACCAAGCTGTCGCTGCACTGGTCTCTCTTCCGACAGCATGCCCTCCTGGCTCAGCCGTCATGGTGGGGACATTCTTGTTTTTGCGAATGAAGGACGAGCTGTTCCTCACGGCTATTCATGGCGCAAGCGCATGTCAAGCCTCACAGCCGCAGTTGCTGAGCCCGCGGCTTCACGCACTCCCACAGAAGGTCCGGGGCGGCCATGGCGGGCGATGGTGGCTCACACACAGCGACACTGGGCAAGCTACCCTTCGAGAGCCGAAGAACATTCCAAGATGCAGCTATCGGCAAAATGCAAGGTACATGCTTGACATGTTTTGAGCATGAGCTTGCCCCGGGTTCAACCTACCCAGAACTCAGTCCGAAGCTCAACCAATATTCATCCCGAAATCACGTCGGACAGCTTCTGCCTTGCCACCGTTGGCGCAAAAATCATCCGAATGTCAGAAACAAAGCAACCATTACGAAATCATTCTCCCAACCGTGTCGCCTCAGTCAAACAAGCATACAAATACTTCGTAAGCCAACATTCGCTTGTCGTCGGCTCGACGACATCTTCGAATTGAACCAATGATCTTGACATACAACACATTGGAAAAATAATGGAAAGTATAACATCATGAAGCTGTCCGGGTGACGATTACTCACGTGCACTGACATATACTGGTGTAGAACAACAGACAATAACAAAACAATAACACGTTCTGAATCGATACGACATTTGGAAAGCTCGTTTATGCATAACACCGCCATGCATCTATATCAATATTCATTTGTACAGACGGACAGGCTTGCGATACACAAAGTTTCATCATGGACCTTCTGAGCATTTTAAGAAATATTAGAAGGCCAATGCCACAGCATGATGCATGGCAAAACCCAGCTGAATTCTAAAGATAACGTGGTTGCAGAAACCCCAAATTATGGAACTTGGCAATAACCCTGAAAGTCAGAACCTCTAGAAGTTCATGGGTCAAGCCCACTTATGAGATGATGAATGCGACATCCAAACTGCTGACATTTGCGGATGCCACGGATAGCTTTTGATAGGGCTGCATGATGCCCAGACCATCCCCGAACCCGAAGAAAATATTGACTCGTAAGCCTTTTCAAGAGGACATGATGGGCGGCAAACCCCAAACCCTATGAATAATGGCTGGATCCTCAAAACTTTATAAACCACAAGGCACAAATGACTTCGCAGATGCTTAAACATCCGTCTGGCAGTCCTGCATATCAATATCTTTGTTCGTGACTTCCCAACCGGTCGCCCATGATATGTGTATACTGTATGCATGTATGCATGCATATTCAACATGCCTGTGCATGTATGTGTGTATGTATATTATGCATATATGCATGTGTTTTTGTATGTGTATGCGCATGTTTATACGTAGATGTTCTTGTATATGTGCATGTAGATGCTTATTCTGGTTATATGCATATGAGGATGTAGATGTACAGGTATATGTTCATGTACATTCATCTGCATATATATCTGTATAGGTATCTGCACATTCATGTTTACATCAATACATGCGCTTACATGTTCTACCTGTGATGCTACAACACCCAGATCGCAGCGAGCTCATGCAAACTAGCCTACGGAAGTCAACCTTTTAACTGGCTCCCAAACAATGCAGCTTGTTCCTTTTGCGAAAAGCGGAATTGATGGGAATTGCAACAACAACCGGAACAGCTTGTACAACCCCACAAATGTGAATGTCTTATCGGTCACCCGTCAGGATGTACCCTTTACAATGTATCCCTGCTCAGGGCATGTAAACGCAATGAGTCAATAGTTTACTAGTTTCCGCTCCAGCGTCTGCAATCACCCATTCAGCGAGACAGAGGCAGGGAGGGAAAGGGAAAGGGAAAGGGAAATGGAAAGGCAAAGGGAAGGGAAGGGAAGGGAAGGGAAGGGAAGGGAAGGGAAGGGAGGGGAGGGGAGGGGAGGGGAAGGGAAGGGAAGGGAAGGGAGGAAGGGAGGGAGGGAGGGAGGGAGGGAGGGAGGGAGCAGGCAAGAGCGTTGGTAAGCATCCAGCGCAAACAGCCGTCAGTAGCAGCAATAGCATGCGACGGGGGCGAGAACGTTCAGATGCACCGACCTCATATGTCCATGGTTGTCTGGTTCTTGATGTATACTGTAATACAGCACAACACAGCAGTCTACAGTCTCCTCCCTGACAATCTTCAAGGCCTGCCTGGTCCTTTCCTCTCTCACCAGCATCGAAGTCCTGGATGCTGCCAGCATCGAAGCGGACTATGTACAGCCTGCATGGCCGAGAAAGCTTTGTTCCCCCATCTGTTTCATAAGCACCGAAAAACATCAAACAACCGACCAATGTGGGAACGAGCAGCGGGCTCTTCGACCAGCTTCTGCCGCCAAAGGCAAGCCTTCAGTGTCTAGCCCGTGCCGGTGATTTCGGTGCGAATTACGGGTAGGCTAAGCTTGAAAAAAGAAGCAGCGTCGAAGCGCAGCTATGCAAGCTGCTGCATGCACATGCAGGTTACCCCTTACCTTTTGGCTGGACAGGAGATGAAACTGTGGGTTACGAGAGAGTGGGCATGAGAGCCCAACTAACAGCTAGCAAGTGGAAGCAGAAGGCACCCACGTGCATTCATGTTCGAGGAAACGAGAAGAACCAGTGCTAGTGCAGACTCCATCAGCGGCTCCTGCACCGTTAGGGCTATTTAGTCGTACAGGTTGCAACGGCATCTGCGACAAGTTCTGCGTCATAGTCTTTGCTCCAAAGTACTGTGTCAGGAAGACCCGGGCTTCGAACAATGACTTGTAAGAGCCCACCTCTTGCCCAAGACGGAAATGCTGAATGATCAAACTCTAACAGCAACTTTAAACAAGGACCTGATCAACGACACCCCGCTTCATTCTCAGATGGAGCACTGCTCTGGGTTGTCGAAATTGCCCACATAGCGGTCCACCGTACCACCTGCATGAACGACAGAGATTCTGGAGCTTGAGTTCGGATGTTAATTCAAGTCCTCTGACCCGGGCTCGCAGACTCACGCACTGCTTGAGACAAAAAAGATGCCTGTCCAGAGACAACAGCCTGCCCTGAAGGCTAAATGCTGTGCTACAGGAGCTTAGTTACCTATAGTCTCCATTGTAGTTGCTTTTTGGGGATGCCTTATAAAACTCGTTAATATATACTTGGTTAAACCAAAAAAGGAACTACAATGGAGGTCAGCTGTGACTGTGTGTGTGTGTGCGCGCTGCAAACTTGCAACGAATTCAGTCGGATGCGATGGCTTCGGGTGTCGCGATACGATATGGTTATTCGCCCATTCACAGTTGATGGCTGCGGATTTGTACGCCTCAAAAGACGAAGACAACACTGGGTGCCCCGCAGACGCCATGGATGAAGCCAGGAGTTCGCAGATGAGGGCGGCGCCACCGGGTCGCATGGGATGCATGGCGCACCCGAACGCAGTCTCCAGGGGAGAACCTGGATCAAAATCTGAGCTACAGTTCAGGGAGCTACAGTTGAGTTACCAGTTTAGGACTCTCGCAACTCGGGTTTAGGATTCAGGCTGCAGTCGTAACTACTTGTAACCCTCTAATCCAAAAGTGCATTGCATGCCGGTTTCGCTTTAATCCCTACTTGATCCCAACTTCGACCCATGAAATCCTGCACCCTGAACCCCCTTGTAAACTAGGGGCCTTAATAATTAGAATAGGGTTTTGGGGGCTTCCTTATTATTATTATTGATATTATTATTGATATTACTATTATAATACTATAGTAGAAGATACCCCCAACCCTAGTCTCATTATTAAAAGGCCCCTCCTAGATTAAGCAAAAGAGCCGTCTTTGCCCCGGTAAAACAGACGAGGCACCGCTGCACCGGGTCCTCGTGGTCGGGCCCCAGCGCCTCAAAAAGCTCCTCAGAGTTTCGGGGTTTAGGGTTTAGGGGTTTAGGAGGTTAGGGTTTAGGGTTTAGGGTACTTGCAGGGCTTATAGGACTTAGGCTTTTCTGGGGTTTATGGTTATAGGCTTGGGTTCGAGGCTTTGGACTTGGGGTTATAGGGTTGGGTTTAGGGCTCTTCTTTCCCATCCGCCCAGCTGACAAAGGTTTAGGGCTTAGGACTTAGGACTCAGGCTTCTCGATTTCGGGGGATGCTTGGCGACCAATTAACAATCCGTTGCATTTGCACCTGAAAAAGACAACAAGAGCCGCTGTGATTTCAGAAAGCTCTGTGGCTCCTTCTCTCGCTGGTGCTTTTGATCACATAATATCACATACATAGTTACATAGCTACAGGGCTTTGAGGTCTTGGGGACTTCCTGAAAAGGTTTGTGGCTCCGGATGGCTCAGGACTCTTGCACCACCCATCTCTGAAACAAGAAGTCGCTAAGACTTCAAGACTTAAAGGTTTTTTTCCCACCCGCCCAGCTGACAAGTCGCACCGCAGGGATGACTGTAGAGTTCGAACTCAGGAGAAAGGGTCAAGTGGGCCTCCGAGGAGCATGTAGTCTCCCGAACGAAAAGACAACCGCAAGGGTTTAGGGTTTAGGGTTTCGGGGTATTTGGATATCCGAGGTCGCTCCTGGTTGCTGAGCACTTGATGCTCCAGCATGGCATTGGCCACAGCAATGGCCCACCTTCGGCTCGGGCTTACCGACTGTTGGATCCGGTTGAGCGTTTGAGCTGTGCTGACACACGTACTGCGGTGCACACTGGCTTATTGTCCCGGTCTACCGAGGAGGCCGGAATCAATGCAAAGTTTCAAGCTTTGGCACCGCGTTGCCGTTCGAAGCGCTCGAAGCGTCTTTTGCCCTCGCAAGGCCGGACTACTGAGCCTCTCGAGCTCTCCTGTGCAGTCGGGCAACCACCGCCGTCTTAGGTGGCTTTTGGCGTATCCGGGCGGTACCTGAAGTGTCCAAAATCCTGTCAGCCCACAATAGTAGGCCTCTCTTCTGTGTGGTCGCCGTCTACCGGTCGCTGGGAAATGGCCCTGGTGTGGATGAGTTCGGGGTTTTTACCCTGGCATAATCTGACGCGATACGCTCGTACCCAGAGAGTCCCCTAAGTCCTGCGGGTACTTGGCTCTTCTTGAACACTTGATGATTTCGATCGGCAGGGCTTGTGGCTGAAGATCTCATGACACGTGCATAGCTCGGGACATGCGCACTCGTCTCCGGATGCTTTGTGGGCCGATGCTCTTGAAAGCCCGGCCACTTTTCGTAGTAGGACGCGTTCTTGTAGACCTCAGGCTCCTCAGCTTGGGCATGATCTCCAGCGGTTTAGGAGCGTATCTGGCACAAGGCTTCCTTCCCACTGCTGTGCTCCACATGGAACTTTAACAGGCTCCTCGATTTACTGGTTGGTAAAACGTCAAGAATGCTAAGAACCACAAGCGGAACGCCCGCCATGCCTGCAGGTAGAACTGCACACACAGAATCTGCAAACCTCAGCAGCATGGAAGCCCACAAGGAACCCCGGTACCCATTGAACTTGCCCAGAATCCAAGTACTCCGTGCCGCGTCGCACCTGGCGCAAGCCGTGATTCGGGCACAGCCGCGGCATGTCATCGTGGCTCATTGAGTGGTGACATCTCTCGAACCTTTACGCTCGTGCAACTCGGACTAGCCAGGCGAGGTCTCAATTCGCGTGTTCGTACTAGGGATTCTCTCGAGTCTTGAAGGAACGAGTCTGTCAGACTGCTGACGGTGCAGAGTGCCTCACTCCACTTCGCATTATTGTGCCATCGGGGCGGCAACCTTTAAGTTGTAGCTGCATCAGCAAGGGATGCTCCGGTCCTACCATAGACAGGTGCTACGGCCCGCCAAGGCCCTACAGCCCCCACCAGGGCATGCGTTGAACTAAGCTTTAGTTGCTCGAGCTGCTGATTTTCTTCAAACCTAAGGTTTCTAAGTCTCAAGCGATAACGTCTGTCCGCAAAGACCGAGAGGAGGCCTCGTCAACCTTCATGTGCCCTTTGGCGACCAGCAGCATGACCGTCGCATGAATTTGACCTGATCCGCTCTGCGACACAGGCAGGCTGAAAGCACATTCTCATGCGTACTGCTACTACCACGCCTAATGACTGCCAAAACTGCCACTATGACTACGACGACGAGTATAGTTTTGGCACCTGAGCCCCCATCCTCCAGCGGAAGTGAGCCAATTCTTACAGCTTGTCGAGACCGCGAAGGCATGAAAGGATGAGCATGAACACGATTCAGGAATCGGCCAGCAATAGAGTTGAGGGCGGTGCGTTCCCAATACGCATGGATCCTGTCCCCCTTCTGTGGCAGCGTCGCCGAGGCGGCGATAGCAGGGAGGGTGCCCATGTCATGATGGCCGATCGGTTCGGACATGGTGCTCCACAACTTCAACCACATCAACTGTTTCTGGTCCCGTCTTTTGTGACTTCATACAGAACACGCATAACCAAACGGAGTAGGCATAGCGGTGAAAAATCTACTAGCGGTGTAACTACACCTTACTTTGTGACATGATGTAAATGTGAACATAGAAACAAGAGCCATTTTTCAGGATACTGGATACTCAGAATCAAAGCAATAACCCTAGCCGTAAAGAGCCTAAAAGCAACGACTTGATATTCAAATCTGTCATCGAGCCCCAACTTGCAGCTCCCCCAAACGGAGCACATGTTTGTGTCGTCGATTCCGCGGACTCTGGCGGGAAGAAGCAGGCATGGGGATGTACGTGTATTGCATTTCAGAAGCAAGCATCAAATGCAAGCAAACGCAAACCGAACTGCCAGCTTTAGATCTCGCACGCATCACAATCCAATCAGAAGACCCGGGTCTTATCCCTGTCACCTTCGTCTGCTCGACACAAACTATACGTAACGTAACCATGCTGTCATATGAGCCGTACTTGCAGAATCTGCATATTGCCAGTGTTGGTCCTATGCCGCTCCAAGGAAAACTGAGCATCAAAGAGCCAGTTCCTTTCTTCAAGATTCGAAAGGCTGACCGAAATGTAACAGAAGTACCTCGCAGATACTGTTAGGGGGAACCTTCAAGACTAAGTCGGCTGACAACCCTGAATCAAAAGACCACAGCCGACCCAAACCTACTCTGTTCTTGCGTCCTGGACGAAACGCGTCCGGCCCTTCTTGCTCCGAACCATGGGCGAAAAGCCTGGCGCGGGACAGAGTCTGCACACTGTGCAGGATATCTGGGCCGTGCTGTGCTGGAATGTATCAAAGTTGCCTCCACTGCCCACGAAAGAAATCTGACGTGATGCTGCCATGCATGCTTCGATGACTCCCGAGAAAAGTTTCCCTAATATCACTTGCAAACTCCTCCCCAAATGTCACCGGGGTGAGCCACCGCCACATGCTTCAAACTCTACCGCTGCCATGTACCCAGAACCCGAAACTCTAAACCCTGCATCGTGTGTTTCGAAACGTGAAGCCACCAACCTGCTTGCAAGCTCCTTCAACTACGTGGAGCAGGCCTGCTGAACGGCCGTTGCCACCGAAACCTGGGACACTGGTGGCTAAAAGGAATCACAACAACCATGATACACGGTAGAATGCTGCACAGAGTAACCTAGCCGTAGTTAACACAGTCGCTATGCTGAATCAGGTGTCTATCTCGGCTTCAAGGCCTCCCGGCGCTGAGCTTGTTTATGCGGCGAGATCTTCCCAACTTTCCGAAAGCGGACTTTTTTACGGCAACGCCAAGCAGCGTGAAGCATGCTAATGCACAAGCAGCTGAGAACGAGAAAATGGTCACTGAAGACCGAAAAACGCGACCGCTGAGCTGAGCTCTGCAGCTGCGGCTCAAAACTCACATGCACTGGGTCGTGAACAACTACAGAATGCCGCAAGCTATCTTTGAAAGTACTTCCGGTGCGACGTGCTCGCAAAAGGATAATGCATTTCATGTGCTCAAAAATAACTCATAAACGCCTCATTCTACTGAGCCTTCCTCTGTTACCGTAGAAGCTCCGGACCTTGTTGTTGTCTGAAAACTTGGAAAGTGTGCCATTGCAACCTGTTGTATCATACTACCACCCATCACGTCATATCATACACTTTTGAACTACGTACCGCTGCCTGAGTGACCACATTGATGTTGCCTCTAAACATAATCCTAAAGTTCATGAGTTAAAGGCAGGCAGTCCTATTTGCACACAGCTGCATGCACGGCAAAACAACAGCAGCCAACACCATGTACATACATATGCAGCTGCGAAATGCGGATTATGTCTGCGCAGGTGCAAACATGTAGATACACACACACGTGCAAACGTGCATGCCTGTGTATGTGTATATATATATATATACAGATAGATAGATAGATAGATAGATAGATAGATAGATAGATAGGTGGATAGATAGACAGATAGGTAGATAGATCGATGGATAGATAGATAGATAGATAGATAGATAGATAGATATATAGATAGATAGACAGATAGATGGATAGGTGTATAGATACACATACATACATACATACATACATACATACATACATACATACATAACTGTATATATATATATACATATGTATGTATGTATGTATGTATGTATGTATGTACGTACGTATGTATGTACGTACGTATGTATGTGTGTACGTAACTATATGCGCCAACGCATCGACCTGCTCGTAATTATCTATCTTCTTTGTACTTACACAGCTGCCGAGGCAAACCTCCATGTACTTGGAGGTTCAGGGGTAGTTATAAGCGGGGTTATATAAGTCCCCCAATATGGGTCATAAGTATAGTTACCCTACTTCTCACCCCAGTTATAGCTACCCATGAACCCTCAACCCTAAACCCTTATAGTTACCCTACTCATAACCCCAGTTATAACTACCCATGAACCCTAAACCCTAAACCCTTATAGTAGTTACCCTACTTATACCCCAGTTCTAACTACCCATGAACCCTACACCCTAAACCCTTATAATAGTTACCCTACTTATACCCCCCAGTTATAACTACCCATTGAAGCTCCAAGTAAGGCAGGCCTGGCTCACGAGTCGGCATGCAAAGCCTCGAGGCGCTTCATGGAGGCGCTGTCCTCCGGAAAACAAGTCATTCATGGTTACCCTTAGCATCAAAATCGCCCAAAAGCCTTATATGATAGGGTCTTTGGGCCCAATTGCCTTAAAATACGAGTCCTTCGAGGGTTAGAGTAAGGGATTTTTGGGGTACGTTATATAGTATACTATAATTAGACTAAGGTTTGGGGGGGTACACTATAGCCTAGTAACTTATGGAATCCCCAGGACGAGTGTTGGTAGTTGTTCCGGCCGCTATATCACTCTAAATCAGGGACCTTATCTAGGGGTGCTGATTGTAGAAGGGTCTACCCAACAGCCAGATCATAATTAAAGGGTCTGGGCTGTGGGGTGTAGGGTTTTTGGTGGCTTCGGATTCGATGGCCCTGGAGCTTGAGACCGTTTGAGACATCTCGCAGAGAACCAGTGAAGTTCAGTGAAGCAAGCCTTTTCTATGAATTGGAATCTTTCTCCCTCTCTCTATGCCGAGGCTGCGACATGCGGCAAGGTAAGACTTGGAAAAGGCATAAACGGCGTAGAGCAGGCCCTGAAACTTCATGTGTGGTTTCGGAATCTCGAAACTCGGGCTGTCAGGCTGTTCCGCTCGCGCTTACGGAAGTAGTTGACACACGCACGGATACTGGGACTAGCATAATTAGTTAATCTGCTGACGGGAGAGGGAAACAAGTAGTAGTTACCTACGAAGCAGCACACGTGACTGCTGCCGAAGTATTGTAAGCTTCAACTACAGAAGAAGCCAGAGCAAGTATGCTCTTTTGTGCCCGCACAAGGCAAAACAGTCAATGCAATATCAAGCCCGTTCCCCTCCGAGGCAAGCCCGACAATTTATGCGTGAACTCGCACAAACATCTGGCCAGAGCTTTCGTTGTCTCTTTGCGCTTTGCGCTAGACATCCGGCGGTCCGGCACGGGGGCCATTTGCATTCATTTGCATCCGGCCTAGAAGCTGCAACGGAGTAATCGGCCCGGAATCCTACACCGACACAAGTGAGCTTGCATATCGACACTCCGCAACAAACTGTTCCGGAAGTGGATCCGCCAACTCCTCGACCAGCCAATGCGACTGGTAATCCAGAAACCTCGGGAAATTGTGCTTTTGAGACTGTTGCCCAATGTACTCCTTGAGCCCGGCTTGGAATCAGTTTATTATAGGGTTGAGGGATCATATGCAAGCAGGGCAGTGTTGCATTTCAGTTGAGGAGATTCATCTGCGAGCAGCATCATAAGTTTCTTGTCCGTGCAGGATGTCGTTTTTCTGGTTCGGAAGGCAATAGACTTGTTCATGGTTTAGCTCCACCAGTTGATGGCACAGCCTGTCGTCGCATGCCTGCTCGAACAACCAGCGACCCTTTTACAGCAAACGGAAATCTCTGCCCTCGAGACAACACAAATACTTGAACCCACTGGCCAAATCGCAAGAGGTGGAACTTCAAACCTGTTGAAAGTCTCTGAGCCAGACTTCGTTGTGCGCTTGCTGACTTCCGTCGATTGGCGCCTATCCGCTGCCGGAATGCAAGTCCGACATCAAAACGATGGCGACGACTACTGCAACTGCTGCTGCTGCTGCTGCTGCTGCTGCCGTGGGTGGTAGTGGTGGTGGTGGTGGTGGTGGTGGTGGTGGTGGTGGTGGTGGTGGTGGTGCCTTTTTGCGCACTTGTTGGCGGTCGTACTTGTTGCATAGTGCAGAAGGTCATTGCAAGGGATTTGTGGCGAGAGCCATGCATTTGGTGATGCTGGACGTGCCTGACATTCCTGCCACTGTGTTGGCCTTTATGGAACATCGAAGAGAAATAGTAAAATCCGATGTTCAAACTGTGTTGTCCCAGTTGCTCGTAGGTGCCGGCATCCGGCCAAATGCGTGCCTCGACCACGGCCTTGACCCTCCGCTCCAGGATTTTCCAGGGCAGGTCCAGGGCAAAGTTCACCAAGCCCAAGATCAATGGATGATGCCCCACCACCACGATGGCGGCTGGCCTGGGGTCAGGAAAACTTGGAGGGAGTTTATGTCTGGAGCAGCATGCCACACACTACGCACCGTATAACCGCGGCTGTACTACTTTACACTGCACCCACATTGACTGCGAGAGAAGGGGTCCGCAAGGCCAGGCGCTAAGAATTTCTACTTGGAGACTTTGTCTCGACATTGCCGCAACGTCAAAGTCAATTTCCTGGCACGCCTGTTGAGTAAAAGTCGCTGCAGACATGGGTGCGGTTGCGTCAACTGCCTGGTGAGAAAGCAGTGTTGCAAGGAACTTGGACATTGTGGGTGCACCGTTCAACAAAAGTTATGAAGCTCGTACGTGCGCAAGCACTTGAAAGCGTGCAAGATCACCCGGGGCTGGTCTACCCACCCTCACGAAGCAGCGAGCGAAGAGCCTGTTAGTCTTAGTGCTGAACAAGCATTCTTCGGCCCCGCATGGCAGTTGGGGGCCCATCTTATCGCATCCGGTGTGCCGAAGCTGGCAGCAACGAAAACATGATGGTTGTCTGTGGGTACGATTCCGAAGTGCAGGGGGATGAATCTCCAGCCTGCTGCATGCAAGGCAAGCGTGGCCATTCATGGGATGTGGTGATCTGGGTGGGACGTGTTCGCGGGGCTGCCCAGTTCATGCAAAGGATGGGAAGTCATGTTGGGTAAATTACTTGCGGCACTTGTGATTCGTCGCAGATAGTTTTCCCGAGCTGGAGATTCAGGCAGAGTGCCTGTAGGCTGCATCCACCGCCATGTAGGCGCAGCCACAGCCCAGGCAAGAGGCCACGACTAAGAACACGCCACCCTGAACAATGCGTCTGATCCTGCATGGCCAGCAAGACAAACCCAGCAGCAGCTTGAGGAACTGCATCGGCCAGTCCCAGGTGAGGAGCTCAAAGATGAAGGCAACTCCCAGTTGCGCCACAAAGGGCGATGATGCCAAGCCTAGGTTGTCAGAAGACCTGCAAGAAAAAAGACAAGCGTCCTGTCCCGTGGAAATGCAACCTCAAAATGGAAATAAGTGTGTTTCCTGCTCTACTGCTATCGAAAGCAGGCTGGGACGCTGTCACGCAAGAAGATCCGGTCCTTCGTGGCCCCTGTGGGGTAGAACATCTGCGCGTACATGCCCGTTGCAAGTCCTGCTCCGAGGTCAGCAGTCCAAAAGGTGATGAGCATCACCCAGAATTGCAGTGTGGGGTATCTCCGACAGCAGAAGAAGACCACCATGCATGCCAGAAAGAAGATCGGGATGCCAAAAAGTATCAGTTGGCCAAACGGAGACGGTCTGTCGTCAGGGCAGAAGGAGCCGTCTACCGACGATAGATGTCCAGCCAGACACTGCGTCATGGCGGACGCGTTTAGATCCACCTCCCAGTTGCCCTAGTTACCCCAGTTAAGGCAGTCCGGTAGACGCTTGAAGCCCTTTCAAGACTTTTTAAGACTTACATCCAAAAAAACCAAAACGCTACGCCTCACTCATTGCACAAAGCTCTAGCAAAGAGCTCTCTTACTTTTGGGGGAGTTCGTCTCAGACCGAAACCGTCGGACAACTTGCGAAGACCATCCCAAGCTGCGACCGTGAGCAGGTCTGTCGGATCATCCCAGTTATACCTGAACTTCGAAGTGCACCAAGGAGAACTTGGAGTTCTATGGGTAGTTATAAGTGGGGTTATAAGTCCCCTAATATGGGTCATAAGTATAGTTACCCTACTTATAACCCCATTTATAACTACCCATGAACCAAGAAGAGCAGGAATGGATCTCTTTGCATATCAGGTCTGAAAAAACACTAACAACCCCTACCAGAAGCCCAAAGTCCTGGGAACTTAAATCACCTCACCTAACCCCCCCTCCCTTCCCCCCCAAAACAGACAATCATCGAGTCTAAGAGCTGAATGCCGTAGAGCTTCAGAGAAATTTCTTCAGATCGCCAGGGCCGACCCTCAACCAACCCTTACGCTCAAAGGCCCTTAAAACGGTTCAGGGTTTAGGGTTTAGGGCCCTTAAAGCCCTTTTTCAACCGCTCAAAGGCCCTTAAAACGGTTTAGGGTTTAGGGTTTAGGTCCCTTAAAAGCCTTTTTTTTTTAAGCCTAAACCCTTGAATCCTAAACCCACGCACTTTAGAGGCGAATAAGAAGCCCTAAGCCTTACAGGCCAAGGTGCTCGAGGCCAATGACGAAGTCCGTGGTCGAATTCTCACAGGATCCCGTGATTTCCAGGCACTGGCCTTGGGCAGTTTCTTCGAAGATGTTGCGCGCTTTGTTCGTTTCGGTGCGCAACACTATTTCGATAGTTATCATGTGTTGTTCTGCATGTTTCTTTTGCTCAAGGGGTTTGGGTTGTGAGTCTTATGGCCTGTAAAGCTTAAGTCGTTGAAGCTTTAGCAGTTTTCGGGCTTGTGGTTTAGGGCTTAAGACTTTTATGCTCTGAGGCCGCAGGGTTCTAGAGCTTTAGGGGCTTCGGGCGTTCAGCATTAAGGCCTGTGGGCTCCATTTTCATACACGTAAAGGCACCCAATGGCCACCCTTCAGCCCCAATGCCTTGACAAGGGCACAGTCTTTGGTAGGTGGCCCACATCCCTGTACAGATCACGGCTGATCTGCTGATGAAGCATTCAAGTGACCTTTAACGGGAGACTGGCATGGCACCCGTGCCCCCGTTTGAAGCTACGCGCCGACATCTGTCCAACACTTACCACAAGTGCCGTTCACACAGACAAGCAGAAAGCAGAGTTGTCGATGCCCACTCTAAGCTCCAAGCATACTTAACTTCTTAAATACCTCGAAACATGGTTTGGCACCCGTCAGCCGACTTGGCCAGAGCCAGCCCAGTCCATGTATCTTTGCATGTATCTTTGGAATCGATGCTGTCCTGATTGCGAAGATCTCCGACACGGGGTCCGTTTGGCAAGCTCCCATATTTCAGTATCGAGCCTCCTACGGCGTCCTACGGCCTGGCTACGGGAATCCAATCTCGCCAAGGTCACCCCAGAAGAGAAACCTCGCCGAGGTGGAGGTCAGCAGTCCACACCATACAGCCACAGCAAGCCAGGCCATCGGCCCTTCGTCTACGTCTGCTGTCGGGCTAAACCCCAAAAAAACTCGGCTCACCAGATTGGAGCTGTTGTTCTGCCTCTAGTCCTGGAGTTCCCAATATTTTAGAGCGGCAAGCTCCTGTTCCAAACTCTTGGTTGGTGTAAGCCGGGCAGAGCTTTGCCACCCAGCAAGCTTCTTGAGAGAAGACGGGCTTCGACGTTAACGAAATAGCTTTGTTCCGAGGTCCCTAAGACCTATCCGCTAAACTGGCCCTAAACCCCAAACCGAGGCTTAGCCACGTTTCGACCCAGGCTGAACGGTCGGTCCAACAACCGAACAAAGCGATCTCTCACGGTTTCTGTATAAACCCCCAAACCGTTCGACACTGGGAAAATACAAACAGCAAAGCCTCCACCCATGGCTTTAAGTTGTTTCAAGCAGGCGAGCTCAACCCGTATAGATTTTGGCGACTGACGTTGTCTGGCCTCAATGGTTTTGGATTTTGCTGCCCATCTTACCTAAGCCCTCCACTCTTAGCCGCAAGCACCAACATGACTTCTCAGAGAGTCATGGTCCTAAGCCATAGCTTCCCGGAGCCAAGCCATCAACATGCCAGCCTCCACACCCCTTATAAACAAAAACCCTAAATCCCAGGTTTTCCGAGGTCCTTCCCTAAAACCTAAACCCTGTGAAACTTTATAAACCCTAAACCCAGGTTTTCCGAAACCCTAAACCCTAAACCCTTCTAAACCCTAAACCCCAGGTTTTCCGAGGTCCTTGGCAACTGTTGCGGACTCCTCGGCTTCACGGCCGGAGAGCTCCGGAGAGAAGGCCGGGAGGCAAAGCACCTCGATCGCGAGACCCTAACCCCCCAGGTACCTACTATATAGGGTACTAGAGCCCCTAGGGTTTAGGGTTTAGGGTTTAGGCCCCCCAGGTACCTACTATATAGGGTACTGGAGCCCCTCGGGCTTTGTATAGTAGGTACCTGAGGGGTTAGGGAGAGTTTCCGAAGGCTCCCGCCGACGTTTTTGCACGCCCAAATACTCGTGGTCTGATGGCTTAGGGCAACCCTAAACCCTAAAGTTTAGGGTTTAGGGTTGCAGGGTTTAGGGATCTATAGGAACGGCTCGCTTGCGATGAGCTTCTGCTTGGTCCTCGCACGGCAGGTCTGCCTAGGCCCTGAACTCTGCTTCGGGGTCGATGCTTTCTCCCTGTTACCACCAGGAAAAGCCTTTTGCACAACAACCATCTCTCATCAAATGAACTATTTCTATTTGCTTCCTGTCTATTTCTACAAGTATGTGTTCATGTTAGTCTACATGTTCTTCAATACATGTAATACATATATATATATATGAATTACATATACACCTCTATATATATATATAGGTGAATATATATATATATATACACATGCTTGAATGCTATTTGCACTTGTCGTAAACCCGAAAGCAGCCGGCTCTGTCAGCATCATTGCTCACCAGCCCGAGCCATGAAGACTTTTTGACTTTAGGGTTTAGGGTTTAAGTTTCTTTTTTGTAAGCACTTTTTTCTCCGCCTAGCTGTAACATTTAGGGTTTAGGGTTTAGGCACAACAAACTCTGCAGCACAAGCGGCGGTGTAGCGGGTAGCTTCCGGCCAAATCCACTTTACCTTCTGTGGTCTTGGGCCCTCGTGGTGTCGACTGGGCTCAGGGTTCTCATGTCTGAAGCTTTTGCTTGAAGACCATACCTAAACCCCCCAAAAGTAGGTAACATACTGGCCCCAAAACTCATAAAGAAGGCTATTATTCTACATACTTTTGGGGTCCAGGTACCCTCGATTCTGGAGCCGTGGGTGTTTAGGGGTACTACGTCGGGTCGACGCTCCGGCATTTGACACCCGAAGCTGCAAAGCGCTTTGCTCGGCATTCTTAGGAAAGTCTTGGTTGGAGGTTCATGGGTAATTACAAGTGGGGTTATAAGTCCCCTAATATGGGTTATAAGTGTAGTTACCCTATACTTATAACCCCCATTTATAACTACCCATGAACCCCCAAGTGGTTGCATGCTTCAGGTCATAACTGCACGCAAAACACGACCATACTGAAGGCTCAGGGCATAGTGCAGGGACTGTTTGTGACAACACCATCCTGAAACCGGAAGCCTACACACTTATACCACATCCCGTAAGCTCGGAAACTAGCTCCGTGCTGAGCATGGCTTACTCGCCGGAGAGTGGCCCCTTCAAAGTGGGATGCAAGACTCAAGCATCTTGCAAAGAGTTGCATCATCTTTCACGGTCAGGAGCGAGGATAATCTGCGATTGCCAGTCCACAGCCGGACATCAACATTGAAGACAGCCCTGAGGCACGTGCCCGCAAGCCCTTTGGCAAAAAGATGGCCTCACCGGCCTGGTCGTGACGGGAAGCACTACCTGGACCCCCCAAAGTACCAGCATGTAGAATAATAGCCTTTAATGGGTTTTGGGCCATTATTTTACCTACTTTTGGGGGGTTTAAGTAAGGCTTAGAAGATGTGGAACTTCGAGAGTCGACCTTCGATAACCTTTGGAAGCCGCAGGCTTTTAGAGGTAATGGCTCCGGGGCTATGTAGCGTTTAGTTTTACATGGGGTTTCGGCGCGGATCTTAAGCGTGCTTAGTTTTCGGGTTTAGGGCAGCTTAGGGTTAACAGGGCGAGACAGTTCAGAACCCGAGCAACTGTGAAGGGCTAGGGTGCGATACATTCATGACGGGGGTGGGGGGGGGTGGGGGGTTAGGGTTTAGGGCTTAGGGTTTAGGGTTTAGGGTTTAGGGGGGGGGCGGGGGGGGGGGGGGTGAAATTTTAAAGCTTCTAACTAACGACAGCAATCTGAACTCCAACAACATTGGAGCAGAAAAGCACAAGATGCTGATATTGAACCTTAAGTAGAACCCAAGCTATGCTAAACAAACAGGGTGACTTTGCATCACTCTTTTCTTGATCGTATATACTTATCAGTCAATGGCAACTGCCTGGAAATACCGTTCTCCAAGCTCTTCGCCAGCCTGGATCTTGATCCGCTCGCCATCGCCATGCAGGAATTCGATGGAGCCGGCATCGCAAACCACCTGGCTACTGCTCCGATCCGAGGGTCCCACGATGAGGCTCCAAAAGAACCCCCAACTCCCGAAACTCTTGCCGAAGATGCAGAGGGAGTTGTGAGATGCTTGTTGGCTGGTATACCTCTCAACTCGGAATGTAGGTATGTGCACGAAAATTAAGCTCCTTCACTCCATCCCCATGTCAACGACAGTTGCGCTTCAAAACTCTTTGTTGAGGACATAATGCATTGAACTTCAGCCGACGCAGTGCATGGCACAACGACCAGAACCCGCTTCATGTCAGATACAGGGGCTATAATATGAGAATAAGGCCTTGAATAGGGTTGTGTGCTTTGCCACGAAAGGGTCCTAGACGGGGATAGTATTGCTAAATGTTCCGACCCCTATACATACTAAACTCCAAATACCAGCTTTCCGACGCTCCACTTTGGCCGTCATGCTCGCTGTTGAGAGTCTTTGAAGCTTAACGTGGGCCCAAGTACCCCCTAAACCCTAAACCCTGAACCCTAAAACCCTAAACCGGAACCGATTTACTTCCAGGATACTCTTTTAAAGAACTTCCATAGAAAGGTCCCCCAACTTCATGAGCCTTCCACGACTCCAGCCTGAGATCTACCCCCACTCCCCTTTTAACAACCCCTAAACTCTAAACATGTTTAGGGTTTAGGTTTAGGGTTTCCCTACAGGTCGTGAACGGAAACTCACAAGACGTCAAACCTAGAACTCTACATCATGAAACCGGGACTTTTGATCAGGAGATAGGATTCCGGGCATTTTTGGGGATAGAGACCCTGTCAATAAGGTCCTTTTTAAGAGAGCCATAAGTAGGGTTAAGAAGGGTCCCCTTTAAGGGGTCTCCCTGACACTACCTGGGATTTATGCATCCCAGGAGCGAACTCATCGAAGAGCGGAGCCTGTCGATTCTTCGGGAATCGCGAAGCGAAGTCTTGCTGCCATAAAGCTCTTCACATCTGTTGCTGCTGTTTTGGAAAATCACGGCCTGGGGGCGGCACGTTTGTGGAAGCGTGCGCTCTTTGTTGTTAGGTTGAATGTTAAAACCGGAATCACAGCTAGATCTGCCGCAAGCCTTAGCTGCGCTGCTGTGTCTGCTACGGCCACGACCACTACCATCGTCACTTACATCGGCTACAACATGAATGATGCCAATAGCGACAAGCTCCCCCAACTCCAAAACCCTTTTGAACCTAAGCCCTGACGAAACCCTCCGTTTTTTGCGGGACCAAATCCTCTCTCCCCTCTAAGCCCTAAACCCTAAACCCTAAAAGCCAAGAAGGAGCCAGCACAGCGCCTGGTAGGCCTCCTCGGAGGCGCCTTTCACTGTGGCCATGGCCAGCGAACAGACCGGATCCTCACGAAGCGTCGCTGGTCTCTGGTGGGGAGCACTCTACGGTTTTGGGTTTAGGGTTGAGGGTTTAACCCTTTTTGCATCCAGGACTCTTGCAAGCAGCCGGGAAACTCCACAAGACAGTGCGTAAACCCTTCAGCAGCACTCGTGGCTACTAAAGGATCGAATATACGCGACACACGAGTTCAGTCGTA